TGATCATCTCGATACGATCATTTTTGACGAAGTTACATTCTCTTGAATTTTGCCTATTTTTGGAGGGTAGAGTAAGTGATGCTTTAATTTTATTGAGAAGTGTATACATATATACAATATACATATACGTATATCTACAATTTCAGATGGGAAAGCATTTGTGACTCCTTGTGTACAAGTCCGACAATTGTCGGTGGAGACAGAGAACACCCTACCTTCTCGAACAAATGCACAGTGGATGCTTGATATCTAAGTTAAAGCTTGAGCGTAACTGGAAGCAGCCGGTCGAGACGAGAAGCGTCTTACCCTTTTTTGCTCGTATCTCGGAATGTGTCGTAGATTGCCGGTAATAACCGGCGTCCTATTTCCTTTTCGCGTCTTTGACGAGAATTCAGGATCGAAATACGGCAAGCTTTCGGATCGGAGCGGTAAACTTGATTGCACGGGAAGATTTGACATCGTTTTCTGCGAAGGATCCTTTTATGTTATACTAATCCGTCGGTTGACGAGCACTATCGCGTGTAATTTACAATAATTAATACATTAGAACAAAGCGCGGCTAATAAACGCGGCTTCGAGTGATTCCGACACGCGTCGGCTGCTTCCGTCGCCAAAAAAACCAACACGGATTCCACGTTTGAATGGATTCCACAATGCGACCGTTTTCTAAGTTACTTAAAAATAGTCACAACCGCATGCTCTTTTCTGGCGAGTAATACTCCAATACCGGCTTCTCGGACAATGTTTACCGAAAAACGGTGCATCGGGATGCACCGTTACAAGGTAACAAAGTGATGAGTAAACAGAGTAAGATAAGAAAATGTGATATAAGGAAATAACATAACACAAAAATTTGTTTTCTATTCTAAAACTTATACCTTTCCATATAGGTTTTAGAATAGAAAACAAATTCTATCTAAAAAAAAAAGCATGTTAAGTCGAACTTGAAATGTATCGTTATTCTCGAAGTTGTTGACTCTTTTCCGCGACGCTGATTGGTTCTCTCGCTGCACTAACTTTGTGAGCGGCTGTCATTGCATTGACTTTTTACAATGTATTGAGGTTGATGTATAATTTTAGCCAATTGTAGTAAAAAGTAAAAGTGCACTTAAATAACGCGCGTGAAGCGCGCGTCTATAGTGCTAGTCCTATCTAAAAAAAAAAGATATGGTTAAGTCGAACTCGAAATATATCGTTGTCTCGAAGTTATTGTTGACTTCTTTCCGCGACGCTGATTGGTTCTCTCGTTGCGCTAACTTCGTAAGCGTCTGTCATTACATTGACTTTTGACAGTTATATGTATTGAGGTTGATGTATAATTATAGTTAATTATAGTAAAAAGTAAAAGTGCACTTAAATAGCGCGCGCGAAGCGCGCGTCTGTAGTGCTAGTGTTAGTGAAAAAGGATGGATGCATGAGGCCTGTTCTATTTAGCTGAACTGACTGCACTAGTTCATCTTTCTTCTTCCAATGTAGAAAGAGAAAGATAAACTGTGAACTAGTGCAGTCAGTTGGGCTAAAAAGAACAGGCCTACGGTTTTAGTAGATTTTATTAATAAACCAAGTCCCCTTTCTAACCTTTATGCTGAAGGAATTAAATATATCTATAAATTTTTAGCTATTATCATTCCACTGAATTCGATGGCTAGTAATCAAACTGGTAAATTAGAAGTAGCCAACAGTATTCTATCAGAGGAAGCTGTGCTAGGTTTCGAATATGGTATAAGTATAACATCACCATTTACATTGCCTATTTGGGAAGCTCAATTTGGGGATTTCTTCAATGGAGCACAAATCATTATCGATACATATATAACAAATGGAGAAGCAAAATGGATGCTGAGCAGCGGCCTAACAATGCTTTTACCACATGGATACGATGGTGCTGGTCCGGAACATAGTTCATGTAGACTTGAAAGATTCTTACAATTAACGAATAGTAAAGAAAACAGTATCGATGGCGATGATGTTAATATCCATATTGCGAATCCCAGTGAACCAGCACAATATTTTCATTTATTGAGAAGACAGGTAAGAGATAAAACACATTACTAAAAAAAGAAATTTAATTAAATATTTACGACAAACTGTTAAGTAATAAGATAAATATTTAAATAAGATTCAAATATTTTATAAATTTTTAGATGATAAGAGATTATCGAAAACCTTTGATAGTGGTAGCACCTAAAATTTTACTACGTCATCCGGCAGCAGTTTCGCCTCTATCTGATTTTGAACCTCGGACGAGTTTCAAAACTATTATTGGTATGTTATATTTTTTCTTTTTGATTAAATTTCAATATAAATTGCTGATATTGGTAGTACTGAAAAATAATTCCGTTATTAATACATTGCACTGCAATATATGGTAACATCATACATTGGTCTAAAAAATTAAAGGATCATCTGTTCTATCTTCTAAAAATAGGCAAATTTCAAGATAGAGCAACTTCGTCAAAAATAATCGTAACAAGATTTTTAAAAAAGCATTTTACAAGCTTGAAATCTCTATTTTTCAAATTGATACTTTAGAAAACGACTAACTGAGTTTCTTCGGAGTCGCATAGATACAAATGGAGATGTGACAAATCGTAAAATTTTTCCCAAACTTTGCAAAGTTCCATGGCGTGCAATAAAAATGACACACTAACACGGTATACAACTTTCAAAAGAATGAATCTTTTTCTTTAATTTGCTTTTTTGTTGAGCGTCGTACAATTTTTTTTCACCGAATTATTCATTGAAGCAAAAAGGGTCATTTTTGCTTCAATGTTGAATAACTCGGTGAAAAATTCGTACGACGCTCAACAAAAAGGCAAATTAAAGAGAAAGATTTATTCTTTCAAAAATTGTACACCGCGTTTGTGTGCAATTTTTATTTTCGGCCATGGAACTTTGCAAAGTTAGGAAAAAATTTTGCGATTTATCACATCTCCATTTGTATCAATGCAACTCCGGAGAAAGTCAGTTTTCTAAAATATTAACTTGAAAAGTGGAGATTTTAAACTGTAATATTTTTTAAGTTTTTTTTTAAATCTCGTTATGATATTTTGTAATGTTTCGCGTTACTACGCCCGTTAACACCGGCGCCTAAGATTCGGCGCCACTACAAGTTGCTGCATGGTGGTGGGGGGCCACCCACGAGGGCACCGCGTGGAGGGGTCGCCCACGCAGATACCGCGTGGACGCTCGCCAGTGTATAAAGGCCGGCCGGCGCAAGCCGAGTTATCCAGTCCTGTCTCGAATCCTATCCCGACAGTCCCGTCCGACTCCTTCCTCCCCGTCACTCCTCGTCGAGAATACTCAACATCGGCATCGGCCTATCTGGGGGATCCGGAGCGTGCTCCCTCTCCACCGGGACTACCCGATTCAGGTCCGATACAAAGGCAACCTCGTTTCCTCGTATACGGGCAGCCGTCGGAGAAGATGTCTCTTCTCCTAGGCAATTCCGCTGCAAGATGTTCTCTGCCTGATCTGCTAACAAAGCGTTTCCTGTTCCAGACTAAGCTGTATCCCGTTTTCTGAGAGTATCCCGACATCGCGGGACCCCTCCTGACCCCGTTCCCTGTACCAGCAGCCGTTCCCCAGTCCGTCCGCCGGTGTCTAGGTTAAGTCGCTAATTTAAGATTCGTTGTTCCGTCACTAAGTTAAGTTTCGTTGTTCCGTCGCTAGGTTAAGATTCGTTGTTCTTAGATTGTAAGTTACCGCGAGTAAGAATCGTTCCGGGGATTCGTACATCCCCACAGGTGTTACCTTACATCTTCTAGACCACTCTTTTCTAAATAAATATTCTTTTGCCTTATAATCCAATGTCTCCCTCCTTTCTCGAGCCCTGTCCCGGCGAGCTTGTCCGAGCGAGAAAAGTCGACCGTTACAATTTTTTGACGAAGTTGCTCTATCTTGAAATTCGTCTATTTTTAGAGGATAGAACAA